GCTTCGACAAATACGGGAGTAGAAAAGCAACAGGGGTTGCTATTCCGTGAAACGTACTCAAGGAACAATTCACAGATTAAAAACTCTTCCGCTCAAGTGCAAGCAGCAGTAGCTACCACTGGAGGGCGGCAAGTACAGCATAATGTCTAACAAGAAAGGGGAGAAAGCTTACACAAAATAACGCCGTTCAAATCAACATGGTTTCTTTGGCAGGTTGTATTGAAAAAACAAACATCAAGACAACTTCATTAAAATATCCAAGTCAAAGCTGATTAGAAAGCTACAGTGGGATGAGAAGGAAGGAGAGGTTTTGCTCGTCTAAGATGCTAGATGCATAATAGATAGCTTAAAACAGTTCTCTGAAGTTCCCATGTGTTGGAAAGCTTCTATACTGGAATCGCCAAGTATGGCTAAACTACAGCTAAGACAAGCCATAGCTGTTTTAAACAAACAGATAATGTCTCAATAAGCATGACTCAGCATCTCACAATGAAAGCTGTTGTAGTTTAGGGTAAGACACTGAGAAACAAAACAAGCAAGTTAACATTAGGTAATAATTCCACTCCTTTGTTACTGGAGGCAAAATAAAGGGCTGCACATTACCAGAAATGGAAATGTCAGTCGTGTGTGCCAGGACATTCTGTACGTTGTGTCTTTTCTTGAGATTATGCAAGTATCTGTTCTTTACATGCAGACTCAAAGCATGTCACACACAAGAGTGCTAGATTAACTAGAAGACTTTCTGCTATTCCTTTTTGTCCCCAGACCTGCAATCTTTTTCAATTAAGGAATCATTCAATCTCACTGGTTCTTCTAAAACACTGTGAGATGCAGAATTAATCCTGGGTAAGATACAGGTTGAGCCCATCTACTCTGTCAAAGAGAACTGTCAGCAACCTCCAAGGGAGAGGAGTTAAATATATACCTCTTACATACATGATGTCCACACACTTATGGCCTGCATGCATGTCCTTATGCAACTAATTTAAAATTGCTGGTTCTGTCATTTAGGCGTTCAAGTTACATACTGTTTAAAAGAAACCCAGATCCTGCAGTTTGATAGTAAAAGTTTGGAATTATTCTTTACTTTTCAGGATCTTAACAACTGCTAGTATTGAGCACTGGACATTTTCTGCCCTTTCTTACAAGGTGCAGGGGAAAAAAGTGAAACTGCAATGATTGCCTTAGAAATACTCTTTGTAAAAAACATGTGCTGGACAAGAATGGATATGCAACACTGAAAAGCATCCAGCAAAACTAAGAATTTTGCTATGGCAGATGAGAGAGAAAGAAAGAAAGTAAACAGTGACTTTTTCTAGACTGATTGTTATCAAAAGTATTTCACAGATTCCAGTAACCCAAGTCATAACTGCAAGAAAGCCTAACACAACTTCAAAGATCTCAAAATGGTGGTGTCAGAACCTTTCCCTCTCATTTTTCTCTTTTCCCTTTCCCCCACCATACATTTCATATCTCTGGTCAAGTTTTGAAAAGGTAACCAAGAAAGGCAAGATGCATTCTTCAGCTCTAAAGAGTTCCTAAACAAGACACTAACAGCTATTTCAAACTTAGGTGCTCAAAATGCTACTCACCTAAGTTAAGAGTTTCTGGAAGCCCATCTTCAGATCCATCTTCAGAGCCTCCTTCTATTCGTTCTCCTGCTCCATTTTCATCCAGATTTGCAATTATATCAGCACAGCACGTCCTTGAAGCAGCTGAAGTCTCTCCATCAGTCCGCCTGTCTCTCTTATGCACTCTGGAATGAAGGACTAGCTGGTGGTATGTTCTGAAGGCTTTACCACACTCTGAACAGTGTGTTGGTTTCTCTTTGTTCTGGGACAATTTAGACTCCATCTCCATAGAAGGCACTTCACCAGCGGGATGTTTCAGTTTGTCTTGGGATAAGTTACCATTCCCTGTATAACTGCTGTTTTTATTTACTTTTGACTTCCCTGTAGTCTCAGTCTGGCTACCTTTATTTGCATTCCAAATTTCACCGAGTTCTTCTTTATCAGAAGATGAATCATCATTGTCTGTACTTCCTTCTTGCCCTGGTTCCTTAATTTGGCCATGGCCAACTGCAACTTTACCTTTGGTAGCCAGCTGCCATGCTTGGTATGTGTTGAAAGGATCTAGTTCAGCTATCCATTTCACAGGTTTTTGTGATTTGTCATTTTCTGGAAGCAAGTTTGGTCTCAAGTTCAAGAATCGCAAAAATTCCTCTCTCTGAGAAGCTTCTTCTGCGTTAGGTTCACCAGTCACTTGGGGGCTTTCACCATTGGGTACTGATTCTTTGGTGTGCACTTTACTGTGCTCAATTAGAGTCTCTTTATTGAGAAATAGGAAACCACAAACCATACAAATTTTGTAAGGTGACGTTACATTTTCAGTTACATGCTCCTGCACCACCTCATTTATTGTTATGGGGCTTTCAGACCCTTGTTGGTGCTTGTTTCTAGAACCAGGCTTTCCAGTATGCGTTCTCATGTGATTTTTGAGGAACCACGGCTCTTTAAATCTTCTTCCACATACATTACACCAATACATGAAAGAATCTTTATGCTTTTTCATGTGTGCGTCAACATCAAAAGCCTCATCAAATGTTTGTCCACAAACTTCACAACTAAGTTCTTCACTGTCCTTTTCATTGTTTGGTGAAGGCAAGTTTGTTCTTACTTGACATTTATCTAGAGGACTAAGATACTCTGCTTCAACACGCAGGACAGCTGGTTCACAAAGAGTGGGCCTATGCTGAGTTAAAACATGCTTACCAAGTTCTTCAGGATGTTTAAAAGTCTCGTCACAAAACATGCAGTCCAGAGGCATGCATCCCTCAGCTTGCATGAGAAACTTTTCTTGCAAGTTTTTGTAAGAAATTGTGTTTGTTCCTTTTATTGTCATTGAGGCATCATTATTCTCCATCTGTGCACCAACAGTACTGGCTATCCCATCCGGTCCATCCATGTATGCCAAGAGAGGCTGAGTTGGCATGTTTCCTACGTTCTGTTCCCTATTATGTGTTTTAATGTAAGGTTTCAGTTCTTTGGGGATGCTCACGGATCACAATAAGGACACTTGTAAAGTTCTCCAACATGTGCTTACGAGTCTGCTAAGCTAAAAAACCTCTGCCAGGAAAAAGAGCTTTTCCACAAGCAAAAAAATTACTTTTTCATTTTTGTCTGTGTTCGTACATCACTGCAAGTGTATCCATCGGTTCTCTCAGTGACGGAATGAGGTTTTTTTGAACTATTTCTTCTGATTCTTCAAGTCTGTAGAAACAGTCAGTTGCACTTAGTTTTTTTGTACAAACATTTCAAATAGTTGCATTGGGCGAAACACACTCAAGGACAAGTTCAGTGCCACGAAGAACTCCAGCACCTGGAGAAGAGAGAAACTAGTCAGTCAGACTTTTCAAAAGAAAAGTATTGTCTCCCAAATAATGAAAACATTAGGGCTAGAGAACTATCCAATACTTTTGCACACAGAAGGCATATTTTTAATAAACAGTCAATGAGGGACAGCTAGGAAGCACTCTGGTCACTTCTCTTCTACCTACCACAGTCGAAATAGTATGGTCTTGAACATCCCTGTCTTCCATTACCTGGGCTTCTGTATCAAGTTTGCTATACAAAAGCAATGTTTTGTCTACTACCTATTCTAAACCTACTCTTATCCTGTTACATAGAGCTGCTGAAACCATATTTCAATACATAGACTACTGAATTCATAACAAGTAAATGCAGCAAGCCAAACTAACCATTCCTCGAACCTGTGAAACCAGGGTTAGAGGCTAAAGGCTGTTGAGCAAAAGACTCCCCCTCCCCCCCGCCCCCAAGACTAGACAAGTTGGGATTATCTTTCACAATTCTTGTACACAGTAAGCATCAGTACAAATCTTTGTATTAAGAACTAATCACTAATACCGCTACTCAAAAGCTTTTACTATCATCCACAGATTTACAATCTCTGTGACAATTTTGAGCTGGTACAATTAGATCATCTCTAAGTCTGAAATAAACTAATGATACTATTTCTTGAACAGTAGTTTAGTATTTAAATCATCCACGAGGCCAACTATTACATTTAAAAAATAAATGCTTCTCATTTCAAATTGCATGCCACAAAAAATGTGCTTTATTGATTATACTCAAAAGGGAAGGTTTAAGATTCCACAAGATTAAAAAGGGTTACAATATAGTTAATCACAACTCCAATTTACATCTCTAAGTCTATAGAGTTATAACATCTGCTAGAAGCAATTAATGGCCACCACACTTTGGGCTGGCTAATTATAGTATTGTGGAGTTCAGGACTCTGCTTGATCAAACTTCTGGATAAAGGAAAAGTCACCAAACCAATACAAGACCATATAAATTCAAGAGGAATCATTCTGAGATGAGGCACATTTCCAAATACAAGAATATCTAATGAAAAGAATGCATTCAAAATTTGACTCAAACTTTCACAAATTATTTCATAAGAGACAGCTGGCCAGTGATTCACATCACTTGAACGAATATGCCTCAAACCACAATATGCTCTATAGCTCCTACAGCAGAAGACAGTATGGGCAAAGTCAGGTTTTAAAATTCATCTCAACTTCCATCTCTGCCTTGCTTTTATTAGGAAAAAAAGGGAAACATTTTGCTTCATTTCAGCCAAAGGGTAACAATCCAAATACAATCCTGCAATAGTTCAGGCTACAGAGATTTCCATGACAGGTAGCTGTAGCAGGTAAAATGTGGCTATCTATACAGCTGATTACCTTTTCCAGCCTTTTCTGTCAGCAGTGCTAGTCGGAGAGAAAAAGGTGGTCTTAAGCCATTAAATCTGAAACCATTTCAGTAGAAATCAACCACCAGAACTTGAACCGTTTCTACAGTTCAGTGGCCCAAACATGTTACAGATAACACTCCTGTAATGCCAGCTGCAGGCAGAGCCAGCATGTCCAACAGCCATGGGAGGTTAATGGGACAGGACCTTTAGCCAGAGAAAAGAAAAAGTAACTATTTATAGACCCAAGGTTTGATATGATGCCTTCAACTATACCTTTGCCAACCACAGAACAGTCAAGTCCAGGCAAGATAACCACCTGGGAAAGGAAACATGACAACACACTGCTAGGAGTCATAGATCCAACATCTCACACACTTTACCCACTCTCTGCACTACAGCCTTGCCTTGAGAATACTCTTTGATTTTAATTTGAAAAGATAGCAGCTCCTTTTCCACTAGCATGCAGGCAACAAGATCCTGGAGCCTAAGGAAGATGGGTTAAAAGAAACCAAACAGATATCAATACAGAACAAAATTATTGTTACCAGTCATCTTTCCCCCACCACCACCCCGTATCTCCAGAGCTTAGTGTCTTTATTGTCCAGTCCTCTAATTCAGGTCTAGACAATGATCAAATCTAACACCAAGAAGCTTCTAACTTTTTTAAAACACAAGTTGTTTCAGGCCTGGGCCAAAGACTCATCATATGCTAAGTTAAACACAAATGGAGGGGTCTTGGGGGTAAGGTAGAGAGCATAAGAGGGAACAAGGCACTGGCTGACAGGTTGATAGCAACAAAATGTGGATTTTCTGCAGCCAAAGTCTCTTTTTCTAACTACACCCTTTATCCCCATTTTCAGTTTTATCACTGTGCTGATTAACACATCCTCTCTGCATAATGACTCAAAAAACTTTTGTAATAGGCAGGTTCAGTCCGTGGTATGACACTTCTGAATTACTTCTATTGCCACTTTTGCTTTTGCCTTTCTACCTTTCCCATTCAGTTAGGACTTTCTGGCTCTCACTCACTCCCTGTAGGCAGGTGAAGAAGCTACAACAAAAGTTTGAAGCTCAAGTATTCAAAAAGCTTTCCCTTTTGTAAAACATATCAAAGGGTGCTGGTTAGCATGTTTTACTTCATGTTTCAACTTGCCGTTTTGTTCTATTTCTACTGTAGTTTTAAGAGGTATTTTTTACACAACAGGATAACATGCTGCAGCAAAACTCATGTGCATAAATGGTGACTATCCGCCTGAAAATAATTTGCAAACCAAAAATGAACATCAACTTTGAAAGATTCCTGAACACCTACAATGAATACCCAAGGCAAGATCAAAATATTGAACAAACTTAAGAGTTTAATGCATTTACTTTCAGAGCGACAGGTAAGTGCCCTGCAATAGTAGGTATAAGAATCATCCTACAAAATGGCCAGAGGCATTTCTGGAGTACGAAGTCAAGAGACAAACGCCAGTGCCTAAAGTCCCATGTACTGAACTACTGAGATTCATCAACAACTATTTCCTTGCTATTGTCTACAAATACAGAAAAAGCCAACTACGCTTTATTACGCTCCCCACTTTGTGGCATTACAACATACACACAACAGAGCAACAAGAATTAAATCACTACAGGGAGAAAACAGATGAAAGAGAGCAGAAATCCACACTCAATCCCCTGTCCTCCACAGCATTCTGGGATGAGATGAGGGTAGAAGAGACATCCTTGTAACACAGACCACCACACATGGTTCTACTCAAACCTAACCTAGGATAATACAAGTGTTTGGCAAAACCCACATGCTTCAAGATTTATTAGAATTTAAGGGACTGGCATAGATCGAATCTAGGGAAGGCCCTAGGTTGGCCACTGATGTCCAAAAAATCCACCTCAACCAATGCATAACATTTTTCTCTGGTAAGCCCTTTGAAAATAGGTCTGTATTGATCTCATCTCAGCTGCTAAAAAACTAAACCAGTCCTCTCAACTGCACGTATAAATACAGAGCATATACCTTGAGCACATGGATCATGAGAGGAGTCTAACTGGAGTTTGGATCCAAATTTTATTGGGTATCAATAGGTTTGAACAAACCCTTTGAAGACTTCTTCCAAGGCTCTTCAAAGCACTTTACACACCTCCACCAAGCCCTGGTAACTGCTGAATGCTTTTCAAGCTTTCAGTGTTTTGAATAGGAGACTCTGAACACTGTTGAAGAACTGGCCACAGTTCATCCTCTAGGCAGCGTTGCACAGCAGAGCAAGATATTCCTGTTTTAGGAATCTGAAATGCCTATTTGCAGTTCAAGCAACTATTGTTCTTGGATATACCATCATACACAGGAGATATTGGCTATAGACTGAAAATAATTGCAGGTAGCATTTCTGAAGAAAACTGCAGATGCAACTAGACAGAATTATATTTAAACAAAGAAGAAAAAGCTAATACTACTAGAGTCAGAAGGTGAGCTACAAAGCTCCAGTCTTATTTTTGTACCTGGTGATTACACACTTCACCCTGATTAGATATATGGCTTTTACAAGTAGGCAGGATTTTACCCTCTCAGTGTTTAGACAAGCTAACACATGCTAAAACTTCAAACCCAGTATCTACGCTAGGATTTTTATCCATTATTAACAAAACCTTTCTTCCAGTGAAGATAATATTATGCCTTGGATTTGAGGACCAAAAATGCTGATTAATTACATTCCTGTTACTCAAGACCCTGTAGGCAGCAGCAAAACTGTCAAGAGTTGCCTTAATTCTGTACTATTGCTTCCTGGGGAAAGTGGACAACCTGCAGTTTTGACAATCACTGTGACTATTTGTGGCTGAAGATCTGTATATTAGCTCAACAGAAAAATACAGTACCTGGGGTTTCTTCTGTTGTCTTTCACTTTCAGAAGAGAACAGATTCGACACACCAGTATCAGTCAGAGATATTGAGTAAAGGAACAGAACAAAACAGGAAATCCTTCCTTCCAACAGCTGAAAAGCGATAAATTTGCTACAGATTAACTTCAGGTTGAAAATAAAGAATGACTATCCCTCTTCACAATAAAGTGAGTCAAGAATCTTGACTTCTGACTTGCCTACCCATTTATAAATGTCGACGTGCATCTCACACCAGAGTCCGGGGCCCAGTGTCCCAGTGGTTGCTGCAGCTGCCTTGAGGTGAGTGAGCAGGGCAGGAGCAACTGCCTTGCCCAGCACAC